CTCACCGACAGCGGCGGGTGTGACGTCGTTCTCATCGTCACCTCCCTGATCTGCCTCGTCGTTCGTTACCATCGCCAATACTTCCGAAAAGTGCTCCTTTAGGTCGTCTATCGTAGGGCGATGCCTGTTACTCCGAAGTTTACCATCACTCACTAGGTACGGGATGTCGTCCTTGACCTGCAAGTGCACGAATCCCTGCTTTGGCGTAACCATGAAAGGTAGTTTACCAGGCATCCAGTGAAATGCATAACCCATCTTCATGCATCACCTCCCCACTGACAATACCGTGGGTGTCTCATCCAATACATGCGGCTCGACAGTCTCGTCCAACTCGTCCACGACTATCTTGGCCACATCAGATGTGGAAGTGGAACCAATCGCGGTCTGGAACACGATCTCGTCGTCATCTTTCACGATGTCGACACCCAGGCTCTTCGCCTTGGCTCTTCCGATGAGATCATGACCACATCCGGTGTCCATCAACCATTTCACCCGTTTGCTGATGCACGTTGACATGGCGAAAACGTTCTTCGGCATACCATGCTGTTTTTTCCAGTCGACAGCCGATTCCTTGATCTCGTCTTTGTTCCGATCATACTCGAACATTATGCTGCTCTCCTTGGTCACCGGGAAGTAGTGCTTCTTATATACATCATCCACCACTTCTCTCAGTATCTTCGCACGTATCAATGATCGTTGGACTTGGTAGGCTGATAATTCACGATGATCACTGCTTTTGAACTTCTTCTCGTCGACGTACACGTACTGATAAGGCTCATTCTCATTGTCCCCATAACCGTACCATTCCCCTTTTCGTTCCCATTGCCTTCTCTCGTCTTCGAGGTAGGTGATCTCCCCATTCTCGTCGACGTCGAGCACTTCCTTGAACCACACCATTTTCTCGGGGATCTCGGACTCGCCAGACCATCTCGATGATTCGCTCATCGCGTCGTCATCGTGCTCGTGGTAGATAGTCTCGGCTTCGTCCGGTTCGACCTGATCAACGTCCTTCTTGAAGCTTACCTTCCCTGCAGGAGCCGATTGCTTCAGGACTATCGCGGGCATCGCGATGGCCCTCCTCACAATGGCAGGCGCTGCGGCTTTGGCGGCAGCCTTCGACTTGGCTTGTGCCTTGTCATTTGACGTTGCTGGAGCTGAATTGTTCTTGATGAGCTCATGTCTGTACTTACAAGCGCTTCCCCTATCGCACTTCCCCTTCTGAAACGCGAAGCATGCTCCATCATCTCTCTTTGGTGACGATGATCTGGATTTGGATTTGCCCTTTCCTTTCCCCTTGGACATACTCTCCAACTTGTGCTCCGTCTTCTTGCTGTGGGAAAAAGTGCATTCATTCCCTGTCACGCACCCCTTCGCCGATTTGAAGTGGTACCAACAGGGGTTATCCTTGCTTCCGCCCGGACTCTTGCCTCTGTCGCTGGCACCGTCGGACTTGCCGTTCTTGCCAGCGTGGCCCTTTGCCTTGGCTTTTGGGAGCACAGGAGCGGCGTCAGGTCCACTTGCCACCCTGGTTCTCCTGTTTGCCAGTTGCTGGAGCCGCATCCTTCCCGCCTGACTTCATCATCGACTTGACCGATTTCTCCTTCATGTCGAGCATCAGGTCTTCCCGATCTGCCTTGATCTGATAGTCGATCAACGCCAATAAGAATTCATACGTCTTCTGAGGATGCTTGTCCGGTAGTCTATGGTAGGCATTGAGGCCGAACTCCATCTTCTTGCTCCCTTTGATCTTCCCGTAAAGGATGTCTCTGAGAGCCAGCTTACTGGGTCTGTCCTCGCTCCTCATCTTCAGCAGCAAATCATACCATTTGTTCCTGAACATGACCAAGTTCTTGTCGCCAGGAAAGTCAAGGTTGAATAAATGCTCGATGTGGTAGACAAGATCCATTCTATCGGAAGTTCTGAATGATTGCATAACTAATGCCACCAACTCTCGTCCCTTCACGATCACCCCTTGTTGATGTCGTAGTTCAGAGTGTCGTGTAGCATCGAGGTATACGTCCTTGGCTTCGTCAGGTGCTTGTTTCAGCATGCTCTGCATGCCCATGGCCATCTTAATATCTATCGTAGCGAATCTGTCGCCACCTGAATCGCTAAGCAAATCCAGGTCTGGGTTCAACCCAAGAGCCTGCTCCAGCCATTTCGTCCATGCGTCGGTATCTGGATCTGCACATGCGCTCAGAACATTCATCAGCAGTTGCATCTTCCAGGTGTCAAGTTGATGGATCTATGGCCAGGCCGGAATAGATACTCTCTCGGCCTCTTTCCTCGAGATTCTCGGTCGATCATTCTTGATCTCTCGGTTATCTCTCGATCTCCTTCGTCTCCTCCGTGTCCGATCGTCTTCTTCCTCTTCTTCTTCCTCGTCTTCCTCATCTCCTTCGTCGTCGTCATCCGCATCCTCATCATCGGGTGGATCATCCGGAGGTCCTCCTCCGCCACCAGCGAGGCTCAACTGACGTCGACCCGCTCCCTGCCCATTCCCATTGGGCGGGAATCCACCGTAATCCAATGGGGGTGTAGTACCGTTGTTTCCCCCTCCATCACCACCACCAGTCGGAGTAGTGGATTGTGGGACATGCCCAACAACCCCTTGCATCTGGGATAGGTGTACATCGATCATTGGATCACCGAAAGACGGAAAGAGGATCGAACCTGGCTTCAGCGACGAATTAGGGATTTGATTTGAAGACGATGACGGGACTGACCCAGCCACCTTCTTGTCTATCCTATTTGAATTAGCCTGGGTTCCTCCCTCAGCGCGTTTCACTACTGCTCGTTCACGATGTCCATCTTTGCTGCTGGAGGCTTCCTGTGTCTCCAGCATCTTGTGTGCACGTAGTTCCTCGTTGTCAGCATCGAGTTGGCGTACAAAACTCTCTTCTTGCTTGAGCGTCGCCTCTCTTTCTTTCAGTTGTCTCTGAAGCTCATGCATCTCCTCGAGGTACTCATCGTACATTCCCTTAGCTGTCAATCTCCAGAACTCAGCCTCCTTCGACTTCTCGTCCATCGTGCACCGTTCCTCTTGTTTCTCTTCTTTGACCTGGGCTAACTCCAAGATCGCATCCTGACGATGACCACCTTCGACAGCAATCATCTGTCCTTCATCGACACGTCGGACTCATACTGTTTGACGATCTCTTCCTTTTCGCGAAGCAAGCAATCTGCTCTCTTCGATTCCTGTTCCGCAAATACTGTAACGTCATTCAGCCTCGCCATCAGCTGTTCCCTGGAGTCCTCCAAAGAGTACGTCTCGGGGCGCTTGACGATTGCATGCTCCAACTGTGATTTCAGACTTTGGACCATCTCCTCCTCGTTGAACTTCTCGATAGATGTAGAAGATTCTATGCCTCTGATCTGTTGCTGATAGGCTGATATCTGTTGCGAAGCCTCACGGTGTATCTGATTTGCACGTATAGCTGATTCCTGCGCGGCCGACTTCTCGCTTGCCATGTAGGATCTCATCAATGCAATCTCCCGCTTCTGCTCCATGATAGTTCCTTCAGCTTGCCTCATCTGTTGCATTATAATATTCAACTCCATGTCTTTCTTCTCCCCGTACTGAAATGCGTTCATTTCCACCTTGCGCATCTGTTGGGCTTCTTCCTCAAACTTGCGCCATGCCTCAGCCATGTGGTGTTGGTGGTGACTCACTAGATGTCCCGACTGCTTGCAGGCAATCTCGCATCGTCTTTCCAGCTCCTGGATCCGGATGGTGCTTCCATAGTCTTCTTGGTTAAGATTCGCCATTGCTGCCGACATTTCATCAAGTGTCTTCTGATATTCCCCGATCTCCACCTCCATCTTATTCTTCTCTTTGATCACGGCGCGAAAATCTGCACTGGAGGGTGATTTTGACCTCCCACCCTTCGATGTCGATCTCACGCCCTTCTGCGACGTCCGTGGTGTCGCAGGCGAAGATGATGATCTTCTCGGTGGGGATTCTCTTTTCTTCGACTCCTGATGAACATCGATTTGCTTCCATGATCTTGTGGGAGTAGATATGTTGCTGAATAGCGCGGAACCCCCGCTCCCAGGTTCATCCTGTGAATCTGCAATCATATCCATCACACCGCTGAAAAAAAAAAAAAAATAGAGCCACAAGTCCATTTGGATCCCCTGACTTTTGAATATTATTTTGTGCCCCCGCTGTTTCCAAAAAGTTCAGTAACTAACTTGGCTCGCCGACGACGCGCCATTGTACTGTGTAGTTAAAAATCGTTCCTTATTGTCCCCTGTACCCCCCGCAAATAAACCAGCTGTCTCCCAGTCCATGTAGCGGGTAGGGGTTTAGGGGGGGGGTGTCTAAGGAAGGAAAAGCGGGGGGGAAGGCCGCAGGCTCTGTAGATAATTTTTTTATTTTACGGGTCTGATAACTAGTCAAGGACGGCAAAGTGAAACGTCCCGTGGGACGCTGTGCACCGAACCCTCAAGCTTTAATACCAACCACGTAGAAAGGTGTATACGGACGATGCCGTTATAGCCGAACCCGTGTAAACGTTGTAAGGAAGAAGGAATGATAGTTACACCAGTAGTCCTGACAGTGCGGCGCAAGGCAGTTGTTTTCCTCCTAATGCCAATCACGGATATCCGCAGTCACACATCAGATCTTGAACCTCAATTGTGTCTTGAGCCAAATGGCAATCAATGGAACTTGGGAAGCAACACCAACAAGGACCTCAGAACTGCTACCCAATTTCGGCACTTTTACAAGGAGAAAAGTGGCTGACGACTTCGTGTGCCTGGAGAAGTGAAGGACTTCTTGTTGTTGGTAGCGGAGCTCTACGACCAGATCTGCTCCGTGGACGCTACCCACTCCAAGGATGGCAAGCACAGATGGTGATGGCGGAGGAAAAGGAACCGGAAAGGGAGACAACAACAACCGTGCTGACAGCTATGTCCCCACCTTCACTGGCAAGCAGCAGGACTAGCGCGAGTACCGGAAGAGGTGCACAATCTATCGCGGAACTTGCAGGACAAAGCAAGGAGATGCTGACGGGCAAGGCTTGCGACTTGGTGGAGGATCTGGACATGGAGCTCCTGGCAGAGGATGGTGGCTACGACATGATCTTTGAGAGGTTGGACAGAGGTTTCAAGCACGAGCCACTGACAGAGCTGCCGGACGACTTCGAGAATTTCTTCGTGAAGCTGCAGCGGCGACCTGGTGAGACCATGCAGGAGTATGCGGCGGAGTTTACACGGTCGCAGAGGAGACTGCAGAACACCCACCGGGTGGAGCTCCCCGAGAAGGTGTTGTCCTGGATGGATGTTTATCCGAAGATCTGGAGTGACCAAGGAGCAACGCCAGATGGTCCTCACAATGATGGGTGCTGACAACATGACGTTGGGGAGGGCTCAGGAGGCGATGTTCTTCATCATCGGCCAGGACAACAAGGCGGAGCGCCCCCGGAAGGATGTGTACTACACGAGCAAGTACTGGGGCACTGAGGAGCATCCCGTGAACGACTTCCCGCAGCACCCGCACGAGATCTACTTCTACAGTGATGATGAAGAGGAGTGGAACGATCAGGACGAGGACTACTTCGACCAGCCTGTCCAGGACATGGAAGGGGCCGAGATCTTTGATGTGGCTGCCTACATCAATGCCAAGAACCAAATGAACCGGATGCGAACCTCCCGAGGATTCTATCCGGTGGTGGCGATGGTCGACGCCAGAGGAGGTAGCAGCCGGGACAAGGACAAGGGCAAGGGCAAACGGTCGAAGGGCAAGTCTGGTGGTGGAAAGCATGGACGTGGCGGAGGATCATCCCTAGCGAGATCGGCACCCTCATCACCGACGACCTCTGCATCGGCAAAGAAAGAGGCAAGGCTGCAGTGGGCAAACAGTTGTGCTTGCGATGTGGCCAGCTTGGCCACTGGGCAGCTCCTGCAATCCCGGACGAGCCACGATGCGCTTTTGCAGCGTTTGCCGGAACTTGAGGACCTCCAAGCCTCTTGGGAGGAGTGGGGAGCCCTGGCGTGACGTCTCCCCCAACAAACGGGCAGCGCCGGCGTGACCGCAGTGAGCGCAGCTTGCGTGGCCACCGCCGGAGTGTCAGGACGCGCTTCACCACGCGCTTCAGGCGAAGAAGGTACGAACTCCGCATCGACAGAGGCGGGGCTGGACATGGCTGCCAGGTGCCACGCAAGCAAAGCCAGCAAGCAAGCCAAAGCTGACCGCTTGTTGAAGCTGGGACAGTCTCCCAGCGGCTGCGACGGCCACCCAGATGCCGTTTGGTAGACTGGTGCCGCCACCAGTAGTGCTGACCGCTTGTTTCCACTGGGACGGTCCCCCAGTTTTTTTTTTCGGGCCCGGTACTTCATCCTGTTTTCCCGAAAGCATGGCGAAGGGTTTTTCCGCTGGGTTTACTTGAGTTGTTCTCATGAGAGTCATTACAAGGTGTTCTTGCAAGGAATTATTATCATGAAAGTTAATGCAAGCAGTCATTGCAAGTGCAAGGAGTCATTGCAAGGAGTCATTGCAAGGAGTCATTGCAAGGAGTTATTGCAAGGAGTTATTGCAAGGAGTCGTTGCAAGGAGTCATTGCAAGGAGTCATTGCAAGGAGTTATTGCAAGGAGTTATTGCAAGGAGTCGTTGCAAGGAGTTATTGCAAGGAGTCATTGCAAGGAGTTATTGCAAGGAGTCATTGCAATTGGAGTCATTGCAAGGAGTCATTGCAAGGAGTCATTGCAATTGGAGTCATTGCAAGGAGTCATTGCAATTGGAGTCATTGCAAGGAGTCATGGCAAGGAGTCATTGCTGGGAGTCATTGCGAGGAGTCATTGCAAGGAGTCATTCTTAGGAGTCATTGCAAGGAGTCATTGCAAGGAGTCATTGCACACAGGAGGATCATTGCCAGAAAAAAAAGTCCAATTGCTACGGAGTCATTGCAGCAGTCCATTGCAAGGGGTTCATTGCAATGGAGTTATTTATTGCAATTGGAGGTCATTGCAATTGGAGTCAATGCAATATAGAGTCATTGCAAAGGGGAGTCATTGCAAAAGGAGTCATTGCAAGGATCCCATTGCAAGGATGGAGTAGCGTATGGAGGGATAAGTGATACGCCGGAAGAGAGGGTGAGGAGGGACGTTGCAACAAGGATTATATTTTTTAAAAAAAAGTGCAAGTTGCAAGTGGCAAGGAGATAAAGTGCAAGTTGGGCTTGCAAGGAGCTCAAGTGCAACATTTGCCTGCATGGCTGAGGATGATGGAAGTCAAGTGCAAAGTTGCAAGTGCAAAGTGGGGGTGGGGAGTTAAGAAGTGCAAGTTGCAAGTGCAAGGAGCCAAGTGCAAGTGACTTGCGAGGAGTTAAAATCTCTTCTTAGGGCGGCGCGGTAGTGCCGACGACACTACACGAAAATCGACCCTCTGCGGGGATCGGCGTGGTCGAGGTGCAAAAACCAATGGCTTTTTGCAATTTCTAAAGTTCCCGCGCGACCCTTTGCGGGGATCGGCGTGGTCGAGGTGCAAAAGCCCATGGTTTTTTTTGCGATTTCTGCGGCGCTCGCGCGACCCTCTGCGGGGATCGGCGTGGTCGAGGTGCAAAAGCCCATTGGTTTTGAGATTTCTAAAGTTCCCGACCCTCTGCGGGGATCGGCGTGGTCGAGGTGCAAAAACTCGAGGTTTTTTGCGATTTGCGGCGCTCGCGCGACCCTCTGCGGGGATCGGGGGGCGTGGTCGAGGTGCAAAAACCCATGGTGTTTTTTTTGCGATTTCTGCGGTGTCCGCGTGACCCTCTGCGGGGATCGGCGTGGTCGAGGTGCAAAAACTCGAGGTTTTTTGCATATTCTCTCTCCTTGTATCTACTGCGGTGCTCGCGACAACCCTCTGCGGGAAAATCGGCTTGGTATCGAGGGGGGGGTTTTGTTATAACAAAAACTCAAAGGTTTTTTTCTTCTTTTGTTGTATCGAAAAGATAACTGGTCTCGTAGAGTTGTCCTCGTGGTTCGCGCGCGGCGGGGGGATCTGCTCCCGAACCGGCGGGTCCGGGTTCGATCCTTCCTGCCTGGTCCGCGAGCGGGCGTCGCAAGATGCCACTTGCATTTGTGAAGCAAGCGCGAGACAGCACCAGGCAAGGTGCTCTGCGCAAACTGGTCGGTGCAAGTTGGTCTGCGCAAGTTGCTCTACGCAAGTAGCACTGTGCAAGTTGCTCTGCGCAAGTTGCTCCGCGCAAGTTGCTCCGGCAAGTTGGTCCCTGCAAGTGGCTCCCTGCACGTTGCTCTGTGCAAAAAACCAAAAAAAAACGAAAAAAAAAAAAAATTAAAAAGAAAAAACAAAAACAAAAAAATTAAAAAAAAAAAGAACATCGCCAGAGTCATCCGAGGGCATCACCTGCAAGTTGCTCGATGTTTTCCAGAGCTCAAGAAGTCTTTGACCCCCGGCCCAAAACCTGGTCGGTGCAAGTTGTCTGCGCAAGTTGCTCGCCTGCAAGTTGCTCTGTGCAAATTGCGCTCCCTGCAAGTTGCTCTGCGCAAGTTGCTCTAGGCAAGGCGCTTTGCGCACACTGGTCGGTGCAAGTTGGTCTGCGCAAGTTGCTCTGTGCAACTTGCTCTGCGCAAGTTGCTCTGCGCAAGTTGCTTTAAAAAATGCTTTGTGGAGGGAAAAAGAACGCATCCTGCAGCGTTGGGCCGACCTCGCTTGCGATGTTATGCTTTCGGGCCAACCGTGGTCTAGTTGTTTTTTTTTGGTTTTTTTTGGTGCCCGGCCCGGGAAGGGGTCTTAGAAATCAACGGCTTGTTTATAGAGGGGGGGGAGCCAGCCACCTGAGCACTTGAGCCAAAATGGCTTGAGCCAAAATGGCTTGAGCCAAAATGGCTTGAGCCAAAATGGCACAGCAGAATGCATCAGTGTTTCAGGACGCGTGCCAGCCATATCAGTTTGCCTTGTCATCCCGAGCTGGCACCGAAAGTGTGGTGCACCTGTTGACGGCAACTTTTGAATCGAACCCTGAGGCCACCTTGCTGTCTGTTGATGGGGTGGGTGCATTTGACACCATCAGCCGCCAGTCCATGTTGAGGGGTTTGTTGCAAACACCAGGCGCATCCCGCATTTTGCCTTTTGTTCGCATGTTTTATTCGGAGCCACACGTGACGCAAATGGTGTTGCGCACCTTGTGCTCCAGGCCCAAGGCGGTGAACAGGGCGACCCGCTGATGCCCGCTTTGTACTCACTGGGGCAGCATCCCGCGTTGCGAGCAGCCAATGCCGAGCTGCCAGCTGGCAAGCGCATAGCTGCCTTCCTTGATGACACGTATGCGCTTACAACTCCTGAGCGGGCAGGGCCAGCCTTCCAGGTGCTGGCTCGCCACTTGGCAGAGCACAGCCACATCCAGCCCAACCAAGGAAAGACGCGTGTGTGGAACGCAGCAGGGCGGTGTCTGCCCAACCTCGGCCAGCCCGGCTTCCCCGACCAATCGTGCAGACGGGGGCAACATGCGAAGCAAGTACTGGCAACGTGGGGAACAACAGAAAAGCAACAACAGTGTTGCCTCACCCTGTTCTTCCTGATGGCGTTGGTGTGGCTACTCCCTGTCACTGGCCCGTGTGCGGACACGCCTACCATGCTTTCTGTCTAGCGCGGTCTCGCGCCCATGACTGGTGCATGCAGTGCGCTGTTTGCCGCCAAGGTTGACAGCCCGGGTTCGGAGCTCGAGGCCCTTTGCTGCCGGTTGGGCATCGACTGGCATGCCTTGCAGTTACAGGACCCGGTCCCTGTCCAGCCCACTGTCACAGCCAGCCCCGGCAGAAACTTCCGACGTTGAGCCGGCACCTGGCGCCGGTGAACCCGTTGCTACTGCCCTTGCTAGCCACCGTCCGTGGCTTGCTGCCAGCCCCCCGGTTGCAGGGGATCGCCTGCCCGCCAACAGTTGGCGCTTTGTGCCCCTTCTCTTGCCCGATGCTGACAACCAATGGTCCACACACCCTGTTGCTTCTGCTTGCTGGCGTGCGTGCGGTCGTCTCCGGCCCCGGTGTCTCAGCTCTTCGTCGCTCTTGAAACCTTGCAGGCCGTTGCCGTTCATGACGGCCGTCAAGTACCCTCCGCGGAAGCCTCGCTGGTCCCTTCCTTTCGAGCTGCCGCTGCGGCTTTGCCGGCACACGTTCTCCTGCACTTCCCGACGGGGGTTACATCCCTGCTTCGGCTCAGGAGGCTCTTTTGCAGCTGTTTCTTGGAGAGCGCTTGGCCTCGGATTTGGGCCGCGTCGCAGACCGTTTCCGTGCCAGCCCTGGCGACGTTGTGCCCAATGCCCAGCCCGCGACTGCCTGCACGGCGGCGCCCTCTCGTCTCCTGGGTCCCGAGGAACAGGCAGGCCCCATTGGCCTGCCACTATCCCTTCACACACGTCTCGTCGGCACACTTGCGCCCTGTCGCCCCGCTAGCTCCAAGCACCCTGCGCATTGGCGCGGCTGCGCCCACTGCCCCCTTAGCAGAGCAGGCGCCAGCACCCAACCATAGCTCTTGCTCTACTAGCCGGCCCCGCCGTTGCCCGCACAGACGTTCGCCCCCTTGCCAGAGGCCCAGCACTCGCGGCCGGGGCTCCCGCCGCAGCCGCAGCAGCAGCCACAGCCGGGCCAGACCTGGCGGCTCCCCTTTCCCGGCACCCCGGCCCGCTAGCCCCGCAACCAACAGCGCCACGCCGCCTTTGCAGCCCAGCCACCTCCCCGGTTCCCAGCTCCGCACTGCCCTGTCGCGTCTGGATGCTGTGGACGTGTTGGCCCTGCTTTGTGTGCAGGTCTTTGTGCTCCAGTCCCCTCCGGCTTTTGTTCGTGGCCCTGTGCGTCATGCGCTTTCCATCGCCATACTCGATGCGAGTTTGATTGACGACGGGCATGTCTCTTCCCAGCGTGCCTGGAAGCTGTGGTTGCTGTTGCCTCGCATGCTTCTCCACCGCCGTCCCGGCCCGACTGGCGCCACCGACTTCGCGCCTTCCACGCTGGGGAA